GTGTGGGGAGGGGCGGGGTCTTGGTGGGAGGGGCGGGGTCTCGTTGGGCAGGGGGGCGGAGCCGTGACCGCCTGCTGGTCACTTCCTGACCCTGCTGCGCGTTGGGGTGGCGCGCTGGTACCGAGGCCACACCGAGGGTGACGACTACTCGCTGACCCTGAGCCACCAGGCTCCGCTGCACCCTGCTCCGGCCTAGCCTTCTGCGGCAGTCCCTCCGTCGTGTCACAGTCCTCAACTGGGAAAGGTGACCTCTCTCTGTATTAAGGGCCTCTGCAGCCTAGACCTCCCGGGATCTCAGAGACCCCTTCCAGACCACCTGATGCTCCTCTTGGGTCCTTCCAGGCCTGCCTTTTAAAGGGTGGCTGGGCAGAAGCCCCACACACGGGCTAAGAATGTCTCCTGGAAGATCCCAGGGAGTTTGAGGGGCGCCCCTGTCGCCATGGGGTGTACGGACGGGAAGGGCACTGCCCCAGCCTAGATTTCCACCGTAAGCACAGTCCTCTGGACATCATCATCCGGCCCTATCACAGTTCACTGAGCTCTGCGCTGCCCACAGACTTGGCCGCACCTGCTCTGTGCCTGGTGATTCGCTAAATCAAATAGTGACCTCTGCACCAGAAGGTATTTCAGTCACAGCAGGGCAGGATGTCATCTGCTCAGGACCGACCCGGCCTATGCTTACCCAAAACTTAATCCATTATGTTCGTCGTTGAACCAGGTGCTAGGCTGGGTAGGGGGAAGAGCTCATACGTGAGACAAATAATGCTTGGTATTAGGACTTCGTTTGCTTCGTTTGCGGCCTGGTTAAGGGGGGAAAGGGATCTTCAGGAGATGTATGTAGTATCTAGGTTAGATCAGGCCCAGAAAATAACTACCATTAATGGACGCTTTCGATAGCCATTATTTCATGAAATCCTCCCAGTAATTTTGAAAAGTAGGGGCCATAATTTCCCCCTTGAAACTGAAGCCAGAAGTGGTGCTGTGGCTCAAGTGGTAGACCACTCATCTTGAGCACACGGCAGCTCAGGGACAGTGTGCAGGCCCTGAGTTCAAGCCCCAGAATTGGCAAAATAAATAAATTAAAATTAAAAAGTTTTTAAAAATTGGGTAATGGCAATTGACAATTTTATTTGGATGAAGAACTCATTTTAAGAAAATAACAATGTAGGGGCTGGGAAGGTAGCTCAGTGGTAGAGCGCTTGCCTTGCATGCATGAGGCCCTGGGTTCGATTCCTCAGCACCACATAAGCATAAAGAAAAAAGCTGGAAGTGGTGCTGTGGCTCAAGTGGTAGAGTGCTAGCCTTGAGCAGAAGAGTTGAGGGACAGCGCTCAGGCCCAGAGTTCAGGCCCCACGACAGGACCCAAAAAAAAAAAAATAACAGTGTAAAAATAACAATTAGAACTTGAGTAACATCATTTATTAGACATGGGAACCTGTGAGATCAACATTGTTCTACCTACCATAGAAATAATGTGAACCACTAAAAACCTGTTTTGTTTTGTGTGCCAGTAGTGGAGCTGCCCCTAAGATTTTTCATTCAAAGCTGGCACTAAAGTGACTAGAGTCACAGATCCATTTCTGGCTTTTGGGTGGTTATTTGGAGCAAAGAGTCTCACAGACTTTCCTTCAGGAGCTGCCTTAGAACCGTGATCATCAGATCTCAGCCTCTTGAGGTGCTCGCATTACAGGCGTGACTGCCCTCGCCAAGCAAAAACTGTTCTTTATAGTTAAAAAATAGTTACTATATCTCAAGCTAAAAAAAAAATCCAAAAACTTTGATTCTAAACCTCCTATTTAGAAGACAATATTCATTTTAAGAGTTCTAAATAGACAAAAGAAAAAACTTACAGACACAAAAGTGCACACAACAACTTTTATTCCTTATTGGTATCATTTAGATTTTTCAATAATTTGGTTTCTATTTGAGATCTTCTCTGAAATATAGTCTTCTGGGGAGACAAACTGGAATCTGGGCTATGAAAAAGCCACTTTTCTGAAATGAGCTCAGATATGGATTCCCAGGGATTATTGGTACCAAGAGGTGAGTTATGCCGGTAAATTGTGATTTGCCCTTCTCCACTCTCACTTCTACCAGTCAAAATCCTTTGCTTTGAAAGCCTTACTACACTATTTGTTTTGTCTGCATTGAAAAGATTCAAGGAATAGTCTTTCTTTTTCTTTGATGCTTCTCTTTTTGGGTCATTCTGTATTCCTGCATTATTTTTTGACTTCTTTTGGGTCTTTTCCTCAACAGAAACGCATCGAATGTGTCTCAGGATCTTTTTCCCTTTGCTAGAAGCATGTTTCTGTGTATCTGAAATTGGAAGCGTTAACTCCACACTCTTAGCCTTCTGGGACTTACGTATATTTGTGCACATGGCCGAGCTCACTGTAGTAAAATTCTGGGCACTGTGGTAATTTAATTGATATAAGTGTTCCCACATTGAGGAGCTATGCTTAGAACTTTCATGAAACTGCGGGCTCTTGCTCTGAGACAAAAATCTCTTGCCCCGCATCCGTTCAATTTCCCTGAGAAGGCTGCAAAAGACAGAAAGTGATCACCAGAATATATACAGAACAGACACAGAAATAATCAAAAGTATATACACATCCATACATACATACATAATACATACATACATACATGACATGAAACAGCAACTTACTGCAGGATTCCTTGAATTGATGGATGAGAAGATCCTAGGTAGGTCGCCCTTAAGTCAAGTGACCTATACAAGTAGCCTACTGCCTCGGTTGTGGTATGATGGCTAAAGTCATTTGCCAATAGTTGACCTGCTGGATATATTAAAATAAAAATGTTAGAATTTTTAGCCAGGTGCCTGTTGCTCATGCCTGTAATCCTAGCCACTCAGAAGGCTTAGATCAGAGGATCACAGGTGGAAGCCATCTGGGGCAGAAAAGTCTGTGACTCTTATCTCCAACTAACTACCCAAAAAGCCAGAAGTACAGCTGTGATCCAAGTGGTAGAGCACTAGCCTTGATCCGAGAAAGCTCAAAGATAGCACCCAGGTTCTGAGTTTAAGCCCCAGGATTGCCACAAAAAGAAAACAATGACATTTCAAGTGCTGGTGGAGCACCTCCGCAGTTTCCCTGACCAAACCTGAGCCCCCCGTGCATACTGCCCAGTGATGAACTTTTCCCCTGGGTGCTGGCAGTGCATGGGATTAAGAAGGAAGGAGGAACACAGCCAATAGGCTCTGTCCAGAACACAGGCTGCAAATTACTAGCAAGGAAGGATTTTGCAGTGTCCAAGCACTTTTTGACAAAAGTTTCTTTCTGCTTGCCATTTAATATTATGCCATTTAAAGGATTTTTGCTTTTTGTTTTTTGTCAGAAGTCTTTCCGTTTGCTCATTGTTTAAATACATGTGTATATCTATAAACAGATCAGGGTGAAAGCTGTGTATCATTAAACAAACAAGTAAAAGGTAGTTCTTAGATATTTCCATCATCTATCCCCTCACCCACCTGCACTGAGATATCTCAGATAGGCTGGCTTAGAAGTCCAGAGTGCATGTGGCAAGCATCGCCCCCTGCTGTCTTTCTTCAGTACTGCATGAGTTCTCCCCACTCCAGTTTCGTACCACCCTGACTGACCCTTCCTTCATACTGATGTTGACATTTCTCCTCCTGATCTTCTCCAGGAACCTCACAGACCAAGTTTGGAGACTTTCTCTAGAAATTCTCCCTTGTTATCTCTTTTACACGTGTCCCATGATATCTGTCACAGTACATATTACACTGTGCTGTGGTGGGTATATAAAGTGTCCCCCCAAAGGCTTATGTGTTGAAAGGCTTATGTGTCTTTAACAGGTGATCTGATCATTGAGAGGTGATTGGATCATGAGAGCTCCGTCCTAATCAATGGGCTAACCCACTGATTAGGAATTACTGGGAGATGGTGGAAACTAGGGTGTAGGTCACTGGGGGCATGCCTTAGAATGGTATATCTTGTCTCAAGTCCCTTCCTGTCTGTCTCTCTGATTTCTAAACACCATGAAGTGAGTGGCTTTGCTTTACTACACTCTCCTGCTGCCATAACCCCATCTCAGAGTCCACACTGAATGCCTACAGTTATCAGGCTTATCTCTACTCCACAGGCAAATTTCTGTTCGTACAGCTAGCATGATCCAGAGTCAACTGGCCTCCTTAGTCTAATGAGGTAATTAAACAATAAGGTGTGAAATGAGAGTTCTTTTCTATGAAAGCCAGACTCAATGCTTTAGAAAAACGCAATACCATAAGCTGCTTAGTTAATTCAAATTATGATTGGGTAAGACAAGTATAAAGATTTGGGGAAAATAAGGCAGCAATCTAGAAGGATCTCACACAAGGACTGTGTCACAAATGTTCTCTCTTCATAAACCAAAACTAGAATTGTGGCTGATGCATTTTGGAAAGCATATCTAATTCCTATCTAAAGATCCGTTTTCTTATGATGTTCTTTTTATTTTTAATATCTTTTTTATTGTAAAGATACTGTACAGAGGGGCTACAGTTACATGAGTAAGGTAATGAGTACATTTCCTATAGATGATTGCTACCCCCCTCCCTCCCCGCCAAAGATCCTTTTGTTTGTTTGTTTGTTTTGGTTGGTTGTGGGGGCTGAACTCTGTGCCTGGGCGCTGTCCCTCCACTCTTCAGCTCAAGGCAAGAATTCTAACACTTGAGCCACAGCGCCACTTCCAGCTTTTTCTGCTTATGTGGTACTGAGGAATAGGCCCCATGCATGTGAGGCAAACACTCTACCACTGAGCCACCTTCCCAGCCCTAAAAGTCTATTTTTTAAAAGAGAAAGAGACATTGATTCTCCACCCCAAAATTATTGGTAAGTTGTATCTAAAGTCTCTGAGTCATTTACCTCACTTTTGGATTAATGGATCAACTACCTCAGGAAAGAGAGTTCTGACTGAGCCGAGCATTTTTTAAATTAAATGAAGAAAAAGAACTGACTTCCCTGGCTGAGAGTCATCCCGGGTTGTCATTGTTGCACATCATCTGAGCTTGGTTGAGGTAGGTGGCATTTCTCAGGGAGGGGGAAGTAACATTATGTTCATTTGTCATACTTCATCCAAAATAAACAGCTCAGCACAGAACACTCAGCTTGATATAATGGAATACGAAAAGACCCATTTCTATTCTTTTCTCCCAGAGAACAGCTTCTCAGTAGGCAAATTTAGAGCATTTTATCAAAGGAAAGCAATAAGTTGGCTCTGGACCAGAAGCAGCTTGGAACACAAAGACTTCATTTTTTCTACAAAAAAATCTCTAAGATTAGCAGTTTTATTATAGTAAAGTTTATATCTGAAACTGAGACAAAGTTGAGATATGATAAACAAAAAGTGTTCATTTAGAAGTAAGTTCAACACAAAAGTGATCAGAAGAAACAAAATTTAGGATTTGTCACCCAATTACAAACCCATCATTTTACTGTCTAACTCATTTTCTCTTATGTAGATCTTTTGATTATAATTTAGATTTTAATTAACAAAACTTACTGGGAGACTATTTTCCTACCCCATAGAATATTACACTGTACTACTGCTAATCAACTGCAATAATAAAACACTCAGGAAGGTTCCAGGTGCCAAGAGATTCATGCTAGCAATTACCATTGTTAAGCTACAAGCCAAAATGAAATCTGGAAACTCAACAAAAGATTATTGCTTTCAATAGGCCAAAGTACAATCTGGAGTGTTTCAGTGTTGTCCACCTAGAGCTGAGCCACATTTTTGCAGGTTAACACAAGGCTGACTGAGTGAACATCCAAAAGAAACCTGTTTTATCTACATCCTCACTTTCTGCAACTGAGCACTTAGAGACAGCAAACTTTGATGCTTCAAAGACACAAAGAAGAAATGGTAAGATCTCTGTCCATGGAAATTTACCCATCTGTTTGGGAGATGAAATGCAAATAGTAAAAAATAAAATAAAATAGAATAAAGAGAGCTGCCAGCGCTGGTGGCTCATGTCCATAATCCTAGATACTCAGGAAGTTTGAAGCCAGCCCAGGAAAGAAAGTCTGTTAGACTCATTTCCAATTGTGCACCGATAAAAGCTGAAAGTGGAATTGTGGCTCAAGTGGTAGAGTACTAGCCTTGAGCACAAAAGCTCAGAGACTGCATCCAGAACTGGCACCAAAGAGAAGAGACAAAGAAAGAGAGAGAGCTAGAGAGAGAGAGAGAGAGACCTAAAAATGGGTTGAGTATGCTGGCATACATGGGTAATCCCAGCAACTCAGGAGAATAAGGCAAGAAAAATCTTAAGTTCAAAGCCACACTGAGCAAATTTAGTTAGACCTTATCTCAAAATCCAAAAAAATAAACTGGAGGCCAGTGGCTCATGCCTGTAGTCCTAACAACTCAGGAGGCTGAGATCTGAGAACTGAAGTACAAAGCCAGCCCAGCAGGAAAGTCCATGGGACTCTGATCTCCAATTAATCATCAAAACAAAAACAAAAACTTGGAAGTGGAACTGTGGCTCAAGTGGTAGGATGCTAACCTGGAGCAAAAAAAAAACCTCAGGGACATTGCCCAGGTCCTGAGTTCAAATCCCAGAACCAGCACCAAAAAACAAAACAAAAATACACATACACACACACACACACACACACACACACGGACTGGGGTGTGGTTCAAATGGTAGTATATTTTATAGCGCTCACATGCTTGAGTCCCTGGTTTGATCCCTACTACTACAAGGTTTGAGCCCTTTAGTGAATATGATTCACATTATTATCTTGGACTATTACATGATTACTTAATAATTACATAAATGCTTTCTAATAATCATTTGCAAAAACTATGCTAGCTTCCTAACATTTACCTGTTTGACAAAAACCATGTCCTGGCTTCCAGTTAGTCTGATGATAACATCCCAAATCCTGTCCTAAGAGCCCTAGCTCGGTGCCTTCTCCACATAGCTCCTGCACTCCAGCCACCAGGGCCTTGTTAGCACCTTCCCGTCCAGCCTCGAAAGTTATGCTCCTTCCACTTCCTGGAAGCCTCTTTCCTCTCCCTCATCTTCCTCATCCTCTAATTTCTCATCCTGTTGGTGCAGTTTCAGCGTCACTTCCCCTGGCCTCCTCTTGACCAGGATACCAGGTGAATCAAGCTCTCCTCTTGCTCCTAGATTCACCTCTGATAGCACTTTCCTGATTATTGTTAAACCTTTGTGTATTTAGCTGTCTAACCATGGTCTCCATAGCAGCACTTCCCCAAGTACAGTTAGACAATTGGGTGTCTAGTTATCTGACTGCCTCCTATCCCCTCCTGCAGAGAAGTGTCTGTCTGTTCTGTTCACCGCTATATCCCCAGCAAGTAACATAATGATTGCCCACTACAATGAACAGTAAATATTTGAAGAATAAATTAGCAAGTGATTGAATGAGCTCTGAGAATAATATATAAAGTAATTAACAGTCAAATGTTTTTTAGTAACCATATTTGCTTTTCCAAAGTGAGAGGCTAAGTTAGAAATAGCTAGGGCATGTCCCCCATCATACACATTCACTTGGCAAATGTCTGTTGAACACCTACTATGTGTCATATACTGTCCAAAGAGCAGGATACACAATGGTGGAAAAGATGGATCAAGACTTTTTATCAGCAAAGGAGACAGAAAGAAATAGCTACTTCTAGGCAGAATAGTACTATTATATTACTACTACAAAGAAAAACAACATAGGTGAAAAGATAGGAAGCAGGCAGGCATGGGTGACTCAGCCCTGTAACTAGTTAGGAAGCTGAGTGAGATGTGAGGATCACACTTTGATGACAGCCTGGGAAAACAGAACTATGAGACTCTTAGCTTCCACTAACCAGCAAAAAGTCAGACCTAAAGATATGGCTCAAGTGGTAGAACACCAACCTAGAGAAAAAAGCCTGGCACTGAGTTCAAGCCTCAGTACCATTGCACCGCACATGTGTACACACACACACACACACACACACACACACAGGTAGAAGTAATTAAGGTTGGGATTAAATTACCTAACAGGGACAGACTTCACCCAGCCTTAATGAGCTCAAAATAATTCTGAAGAATTTCCAGAACTATCTTCAAAATAAAAGGAGCCCACAAAGAGGAACGCAGTCCTCGGTCTTCTTCTGTTTCCAGTGTCTACTTGCCCAAAAGCCAGGATTCCCTTCCGGTCAGCACAGTACCTCAACTCTGTCCCTGTCTGCCATCCAACTTCCTTACTTCCGGCTCCCACCACCTCTCAGGCCCTAGGCTCTCCTGATCAGTTCCCCTACCTACCAGAGTCCCCTTTTCTCTGACAGCTGACACTCTACACATCCTTATGAGCCTCTGCCAAGAGGTTGTTGTTGAACACCCTCTCCTGGTTGATCCCCAGCTTCTTTCATATTTAAGCTTACAGAATGAACTCTGCTAAGGGCCTTAAGTACACAGCGGCATTACTTTATACCTGGGGCCCATGGACAGATGGTCTTAAATCAAAGAGGTTAGGACTTGCCAAAGTGACTGATTAGAGACAAGCTAAAACCAATACCTGACTCAATCCTCTCCCGCAAATGATACTTTAAATCCTGAATGTGGTGGTAAAGGCAGAAAGATCCTAAGTCGGAGGCCAGTCTGGACTGCAAGCGCAATTTCAAGGCTAGCCTGAGCTACATAGCAAGACAATGCAGCTCAGTGCTACAATATGCACAAGGCTGTGGGTTTGATCCCCAATACAAAAAAAAAAAGGAAAGGGGGCATGGCAGAAGGAGGAGGAGGAAGAGGAGGAGGTAGTGGTGGTGGTAGTGGTGACATGAAAAAGATTCTTAAGGGGACAGGGGGAGGCTGGGAAAGGATGGGAAGGGGAAACAAAGGAGGAGGCTGCAATGCTTGATAAGAAATGTACGCATTATCCTGCCCATGTAATTGTAACCCCTCTGTTCAGTATGTTCACAAAATAAATAAATAAATAAAATAAAGAAATGTACTCATTATCTTGCCCATGTAATTGCAACCCCTCTGTACAGTATTTTCACAATAAAAAAATTTTTTTAAAGATTTTTAAAAGATTTCTTTACCAGGGTACCTATGGCTCACACCTATAATCCTAGCTATTCAGGAAGTGTCTAAGGATCACAGTTCAATGCCAACCTGGTCAGGAAAGTCTGTGAGACTCTTCAATTAACCACCAAAAAAAAAAAAAAAACAGAAGTAGAGCTGTGGCTCAAAGTGAATACTAGCCTTGAGCAAAAAAGCTCAAGGGACAGCACCTAGGCTCTGAGTTCAAGCCCCATGATAAAAAAAAGAGAGAGAGAGAGAGAGATGTCTTCAACCAGACACAGTGGCTCATCCCTGTAATCCCAACTCCTTGGGAGGCAGAGAACAGGAGGCTCTTAGCTCAAGGCTAGGTATGGTGAAGACTTAGCAAAACTCCGTATCAGCAAAACAGCTGGGCATGATGGTTCCCACCCATGACCCCATCTGTGAGGGAAGCATGAGCAGGAGGGATCGTGCTCCAAACCATCCTGGGCAAAAACACCCAGTACTGCCAAAAAAATAAAAATCGTTTAATAGTTCTTTCCTAATAAGTAAAAATAGGTATCAACACAAGTCAAAAGTATAAAAAACATGAGTTGCTTCAACCAAATAAAGGTGTTTTTTTAAAAAATAAGCAAAGTATGCAGGTGAGCCAAGGGACAAGCCCCCTGCTCATAACGGTGGTGGGCTGGGGCAGTTACCTAGTTTACACAGGGTATCGCTGAGGCTGATGCTAAGCTGCTTCTTGACCAGTGAGGAGTTGGCCAGAGTGTCTGCATTCTCCTTGATTTTTATCACTTGTTTGTAATACTCAGTTGCTTGCTTCTTCTGGGATCTAGGAAATTGAAATTCAACGGAAGTTTGCAAGGAAGAAACATGACATTCATTCTTATATTAATTCAACAAGCATTCACTGAACGCTGGTGCGAGGACTGGGGCATAAGAAGGAATACCACATCCTTACCCTCTTGAGGTTAGGAGAGAAAGTGAAGAGTAAAGCAGGGATTCGCTCAACAAAGTACAAACCTGAGAGTTGGGGGGTTTTAGTTGTGCTTTTTTGTCCTTTTTTATTTTTTGGTCGGTCGTGGGGCTTGAACTCTGGGTCTGGACACTGTCCCTCAGCTCTTCAGCTCAAGGCGAGCGCTCTACCACTTGAGCTACAGCACCACTTCCGATTTTCTGGTGGTTTATTGGAGATAAGAGTTTCATAGACTTTCCTGCCCAGGCTGGTTTTGAACCGCGATCCTCAGATCTCAGCCTCCTGAGTAGCCAGGATTACAGGTGTGAGCCACTGGCACCCGGCTGTGCTTTTTTTTCAGCGATGAGGATCAAACCTGGGGTCTCATACACACTAATCAAGTGCTCTTCCATGAGCTACATAGCTGGCTGGGGCTTCTGGACTTCAGTGTGGCAGTTTTCATGGTAGGATGGCACTGCTATTGTAATTCCGCTGGGTTGGAGATGGCAGTTGGGCTGAGCAACAGGGCTCCCCCAGGGGGAACCACTCAGCTCAAAACTCTAGCTCTGAAGTCAAGCAGGTGAAGAAATCGGGTACCTGGTTGGATACAGGACTGTCTCAGGCTGCCCAGATGCCACAAAACTCCATTGGAGATGAGTATGCGACAGATAGCCAGCTACATCTATCTGCCATGAATGAGAGAGGCCCAAGAAGCAGATGAGACCAGAGGCAGCTGTGGAGCAATGGCTGAAGGCCCAGCACCACAGGTGAAACAAGCAGCCAGTCGCAGTCCAGAATGCCAATGGGGTCGCAAGAGGCAGGGGGCGACTCCCGCTTCCCCACACACCCAGAAGAGCAGAGAAATTGCCATCAGAGGGATAGTACTGGTGAGGGAGGGCAGTTTGGGGCCAAGGAAGGGCAACTGTGAGGAGGAGGAGCGAGCCATCGGGAGAGGTGCCCACGCATGCCCGGGGCAGTGCTGGGGGTGCTCCTGATGACTTTCTGAGAGCAGAAAAAGGGACTTGGGAACAGGGAGACGTCAAGAGATACACAAAACACACAGTGTGAGGAGCAGCTGACGGAAGGTGAATGCTGAGGAATGGCTAGACCATGGGGGAAATGCTGACGTGCCGCTGAGAAGGAATCCTCTTCCTCTTACAACATCTTGTTCATTTTTTTCTGTCATGGTTGTATAGCACTCTTTTCGTGTGTGTGTGTGTGTGTGTGTGTGTGTGTGTGTGTGTGTACTAGTACTGGGGCTTTGAGCTAGGGCCTAACCACTGTCCCTTAGCTTTTTTGATCAAGGCTAGTACTCTGCAACTTGAGCCACAAGCCACTTCTGACTTTTTGGTAGTTCACTGTAGATAAGAGTCTCACAGCCTTTCCTGCCTGGGCTGGCTTTGGACCACAACCCTCAAATCTCACCCTTCTGAGTAGCTGGGATTACAAGTGTGAGTAATGGCACCCAGCACATATAACACTTATTCCTTGAACTCAAACTCAGTCATCCAGCCCTGCCCATCCCAATCAAGAAGCCCTCAGAGCCAGGCTCCTGTGGCTCACGCCTCTAATCCTAGCTACTCAGGAGGCTGAGATCTGAGGGTAGTGGTTCAAAGCCAGCCTGGGCAGGAAAGGCTGTGATACTCATCTCTAATAAACCACCAGAAAACCAGAAGTGGCGCTATGGCAAGTGGTAGAGCGCTCGCCTTGAGCTGAAGAGGTGAGGGACAGCATTCAGGCCCAGAGTTCAAGCCCCATGACCAAACAAAAAAGAAGCCCTCAGGGCACAGATCATTTCCTAGTTCACAAGAGATGTCTCAAACCCCTGGCTGCAAAGGATCTACACATATGTGAGAGATGAATCATGCTATCCAGCAAGATGTCTTGAGGTTGTAACCCAGATGGAAGACCCAGTCACCTATGGGCAACTTCTAACATGGAGAAAGACATCCATCTCCATTGTTTCCGAAGGCTGGATACCAGTAGTGAAGCCTGGGATGCAGGCCCTCTCCATACGAGGCTTGTACAATGGCGTAGCAAGCACCAGGGTCCTCCGACTCACACCCGCCAGCACTGCACTTGTGATGGGGAGCCCAGGCCGGACATGACTCAGCCAATGAGCTGTGTGTTCAGGTTTTTCTTTTATGAGGCAACTGTTCCACCATCTAGCTTTTCGCTCTTCTAAAAAAATCCTAGCCTCTGTTCCACATGCTGGTATTGAGTACAAGGAGCCTTGTGTGGTTGGTGTCTGTGTCTCCACCGTCACCTGCAGGGGTGCCAACAGTAACGTCTATCACCTGATGGGCTGGAGTCCTTCAGTAGGTGCCAGGCACTCTGCTGAGCTCTCCTGTGTAAGATCTCCTAATCCTCAATAGTCCTGGGAGGAAGATATTGCTACTCTATACTTTATCAATGAGGAAGTGGGTGAGAGCCCATGGTGTTACCTCCCCCCCACCCAACACAACACACCCTCCAACTTCTCACTGTTACTAAGCAGCAGAAACAAGATCTGAACAGAGACAAGCAGAGCCGATTCCAGCATCTGCTCACCCAGCACCTATGAGCTGACTCTTTGGCCTTTATTTGAGTTCTGATTTCTAACTTCCTTTTACAAAGGATTAACACCGATTTATACTCACATGTTAGAGATTCTCCAGTGTCACATTCTCCCTGGGAGCAAAGGTAAGAACAAGTCACCTACTGACGAAAGGGGAAGGGAAAATGATCTCGGGGAAAAATGGAAAACTGAAATGAAAAACAAGCCTGGGGACAGGGAGGGGAGGAGAGAGGAGCACCTCTTCCTTAGCAACTTTACCAAGTCACCTGGAGCATCTGACCATCAGTCAGCTGACTCTGCCAAAAAAGGGAGATGCTGGGCTCCAGGATCTGTAGCTTCAAGAAAAACTTCTCCCACACTGACTAGCCAGGAGAAGTGGTCAGACCTGGAGATGCTCATCCTAATCAGCTATGGAGGGCAAGCCCCACAGTCTTCCTTCAGACCAAGATGTGTGGAGACTGAGGACAGAGCCATGTCCCAAGAAACAAGAGACTCCCTGAGTGAGGAGAGACAGCAGGAGAGTGTGACCTGGAGCATGCTGGGCTCTGACCTTGGCCACACAGAACACACAGACCAGTAGAGTGTGGCCTACAGAGAGCAGCCATGGCCCAGGCCTGCAAAGGGACCTGAGGTAAGGACCTCTTGTTCACAAGGCCTGTGGGTGATACCAGGAACTGCCCACAATAAGGACACTGGACTCCTTTGTCCTTTCCCTGCTCCTAAGACCTCCACACCGTATTGGGGCCCTGGATCCATATATGAAGGCCAGTGCTCTGATGTTCCAAGACTTCGACCAGAACTGACGACAAAGAAGCAAGACAGCCCCAGCAGATAAGCTCAGACAGCCTGACCAGCCTGACACTGCCGAATTTGCAATGAACAGGAAGGGAGGAGACACAGCTCCTCACACATCTTATCAAAACTTACTTTTCAGGATCTTTTTGTAAAAAAGACAGCATATCCGCTAAATATTCCATAATTTCTCCAACTAGCATGTTTTTCTCTCCAAACAAACTTCTCCTGATATATAAGCACTCTTGAAATTTCACTTCTGCAACGGCAGCATTTCCACCAGCCAACCTGAAGATAAAACACATGTGTGATTTCCTAGGCATGATAAAATGTTAACTACAGTCACTGTACTATCTGTACTAAATATATTTTATTTTATGCAAAAATCTGTTTATATAGAAGAAATTGAAGAATGTCAAAGTTACTTATAAGACTCGGAGTGTGTCTGTAAAATGTATTTTGAAGTGCTGTGGATTGAACCCTATCACAGCAATATCTTCATTTAAAAAAATAGAGGATGTTCCCTCCCTCACAGTATAACCCCTGCTTTCACTATATTTGATGTCGGTATAATTTGTGGAGGAGATGGGGAAAAACAAGTCGTTTAAGAATACAGGTGGACCCGTTGCAACAATGAGAAGTACAAGTTGTCATGTCAAAAATGAACTTTACAACTTTGGGGGGGGAGGGGGGATAGAATTGGGTGGGGGAGCGGGGGAGGCTGGGAAGGGATGTGAAGGGTAAACAAAGGAGGAGGCTGCAATGCTTGATAAGAAATGTACTCACTATCTTGCCCATGTAATTGTAACCCCTCTGTACAGAATGTTCACAAAAAAAAATTTTTAAAAGGAAAGCAAAAAAAAAAAAATAGAGGATGGTGGTGGGGTGGAAGATGGGGAGGTGCAATAAAGCTAAAAAAAAAAAAAAAGTAAAAAAATAGAGGAAGCTGGGCGCCGGTGGCTCATGTTTGTAATCCTAGCTACTCAGGAGGCTGAGATCTGAGGATCACGGTTCAAAGCCAGCCCGGGCAGAAAAGTCCGTGAGTCTCTTATCTCCAATTAACCACTAGAAAACCAGAAGTGGCGCTGTGGCTCAAGCTGTAGAGCGCTCACCTTGAGCTGAAGAGTGCAGGGATAGCACCCAAACCCAGAGTTCAAGCCCCAGGACTGACAAAAAAGAAAAAAAGAAAAAAAATAGAGAGCCAGACATGGTGGTATACACCTGTAATCCCAGCACTGAGGGAGGCAGAGGCAGGGAGGATCAATAGTTCAAAGCTGGAAAGACTTGGAAAAATTGTATATAAGCCAGGCCCAAAGAAACAGAGGTCCCATGGTTTCCCTTATTTGCAATAACTGGTATATATCTGGGACAAGCAGAAAAGGTCAGATAAGATGATGTTAAGCGAAATGAACCCCAAGGTAGGGACACAAGTGTTTTTTTTTCTTTCTTGCTATTGTTTCTAATGTATTTATAAGGTATGTGTGATTTTTTTTTGTTGCTTTGTATGTTCCTCCCCCACGAATAACCCCTGTTTTCACTGTATTTGATGTTAGTATAATTTGGGGAGGGGAAGGGCAAAACAAATTGTTTAAATAGTGATACAGGTTGACCCATTGCAACAATGAGATGTACAAGATGCTATGTTGAAAAACGAACTTTACAATTTAGGCAGGGAAGGGAGATGTAGGGGGGGAGAGGGAAGTGTAGTTGAGGTGGGAGGGAAGGGATGGTAGGGGAAAAACAAAGGAGGAGGCAACAATGCTTTGGTAAGAAATATACCTTGCTCATGTAACTGTAACCCGTCCATATAGTATTTTCATAATAAAAACTTATTTAAAAAAAGTTCAAAGCCAACCAGACTCCATAGTGAGACATGGTCTCAGAAAAGAAGGGAGGGAAAGAGGGGAAGGAGTGGAGGGGAAGGAGGAGAGGGGAGGAGGGGAGAGGAGAAGGGAGAAGAGGAAAACTAGAGCACTGCTGGGCTGGATTACTCCTTGTGGTACACTGTGGGACATTTAGTAGCATCTCTGACATCTATCCTCTTGGATAACAACCCCTCAGCCTTAGTCATAATAACCAAAAAGATCTCCAGACATGGCCAATGGTGAATGAATGGATGGCCCTGGATCATCTTAGGCTGAGAAGCACTGAGAAGGCTGGAGGATAGAAATGCTAAAGGTAAGCCTTTCTTAACCAAATCAGGATTAATCATAAGAATAAAAGCTAATACAGAGAACATGGAATAAAAAGTTCATGTTTACATGAGAACACCTTCGATGTATTTCATGGTAGCTTCATCATAAGGATTGCTGTTCACTATCTTGGACACTTCCAAAGCGTAATCCAAAATGTGATTTTCTTTTAAGAACTCCTCAGACGCTGACTTTGCCAGGTTATTCAGCACTTTGACTAAAGGGAATAAAAGTTGACAAAGAATGTGATGCTTCAGTTTTGGTTTGGGGTTTTCTTTTTCCACAAAGGAGTTAAGATGCCAGTAGGTCCATCAAGGAGTACTTTACTTGATCCCTACCAAGTGCCAGTGTTTTTCTGCATAGATCAACATACTAAGTGAGAACTGGTTCTCATGTGAGACATGTGTACACATGGCAGTTAGAGGTCCAAGGAGCTCAAATAGTAGACTGACACTGAACACTGAATTTGCTTCACAGATGAATGGGTCCAAACAGAATGCAGGTGTAGATCGCCGAGCCAGTTAGCCAAGTCCTACCAAAAACAGCCAGCACTGTTCTGTAGCAAGACATAGCCTTCAAGTAACAAGCACAAAGGTCCCAGAGACCCAATTAATAAACAGTCATCTGTATTTTACCACAAGCCACTGCCTTGACCATGCACACCCTCAACTATCTTGCTCCTCTACTGAATTCAATATATGTTGGAAAATAATACAATGTTTTTTTCTTTTTTTGGTCGGTCATGGGGCTTGAACTCTGGGCCCAGGCACTGTCCCTCAGCTCTTCAGCTCAAGGCTAGCGCTCTACCACTTGAGCCACAGCACCACTTCTGGTTTTGTGAGTTGTTTATTGGAGATAAGAGTCTCATGGACTTTCCTTACCAGGCTGACTTTGAATCACTATCCTCAGATCTCAGACTCCTGAGTAGCTAGGATTACAGGTGTGAGCCTGTATGCCAGGCATACTACAGACTTTTAAGAATTATCTTTAAGGAGCTGTAGAAAGGTCTTTCAATTCAACAAGTCAGTGTATAAGTACAATTCATCTTGATCAGTATTCACCCCTTTCATCATTCTCCCCCATCTTTCCCAACCTTCAAGTCACATACATACATTGAAGTTAAGGACTACATTTACCCACACTTCCTCTCTCCATTTGTCTGCCTCTTTCACCTTGACCTCTACACACACACACACACACACACACATACACACACACATTTTTGATTCCTGGTATTTCATTTTGTTAAACTGTTGTTCAATTTTGGAATCCTCCCCTGAATATAAACCAACCCTTGGACTTCCAGCTCCAAAAGTGTCAAGGGGAGAGCTCAGGTGGCTCACATGGCTCACGCCCATAATCCTAGCTACTGAGGAAATCATCCTGGGCAGGAAAGTCTATAAGACGTATCTCCAATTAACCCCCAAAAACCAGAAGTGAAGCTGTGGCTCAAGCAGTAAGCACTACCTTTGAACAAAAACACTAAGGAAAGAGCATCTGAGTTCAAGCACAGAGTATCAACATCAACACACACACACACACACACACACACACACACACACACTTTCTTTTCTTTATTTTCCCAATCTAGCTGCAGCTCTAGCAAACTCAGCAGTGTTCTGAGAAAGCATTAGCATGGCCCAGGAGGAGTCAGAATGGCTCCCTCCGCAGGTGTTGCCTTACCTTTCTGCTTCATCAAATAATGGCTGGCTTTTAAGTCACTGAGTGAATAAAACAGCAGGTTTGACCATGCCTTCTGAAAATACTTGAATCCTTTCTGAATCATCCCAATTTCAAGATACAGTTCTCCCACAGCATTCTGAGCTTGGAGTAGCATTCCCCGTGTGTTCGGGCTCTGGAGAAAATGAGAAGAACTCTTCCTTAGGAGACACAAAACAGGCATGCCAGGTGCTGATGGTTCACGCCTATAAGCCTAGCTACTCAGGTGGCTGAGCTCTGAGAATCATGGTTCAAAGCCAGCCCGGGCAGGAAAGTCCATGAGACTCTTATCTCCAATAAACCACCAGAAAACCAGAAGTGGCGCCGTGGCTCAAGTGGTAGAGCTTCACCTTGGACTGAAGAGCCGAGGGACAGCACCCAGGCCCAGAGTTCGAGCCCCACAACCGACAAAGAAAAAAAAAAACTCAACAGGCACCGCTGCCAGACACCCTGCAAGAAAGATTTAATTGTAGCAGGGAGCTGGTGGCTCACACTTGTAATCCTAGCTACTCAGAAGGCTGAGATCTAAGGATTGTGGTTCAAAGCCAACCTGGGCAGGAAAATCTGTTGAGAATCTCATCTCCAATCAGCCAGCAAAATACTAGAAGTTTCACTGTGGCAAAGTACTAACTAGTCTTGAGCAAAAAAAAAAAAAAAGTTCAGAGCATATAGCCTTCTGTTCATGCCCCAGTATCAAAAAACAAACAAAAGATTCATTTGTCATAAAATTATACATATTACTTCATCTTTCAGGTAATTAAAAATACATAGCAAGTAAATGGCTGTGATGAGACCTCTTTAAGGAGATACTGCAAACTAATAGTGTATCTTGGACAATGTCTCCATGGGTTGTTAGTCAAGGATAATACAAGCTTTGAAGACTAACCCGACAATGCCTTGTACCTGTGAAGTAGACCAGAGAAGGTGGCACTCAGAACACAAATGAATGGCTGGAAACTTCGTAAATTCAAATGTGGGGGCTGGGAAGATGGCTCAGTGGTAGAGTGCTTGCTTTGCATGCATGAGGCCCTGGGTTCAATTAGTCAGCACCACATGAAGAAAAAGCTGGAAGTGGTGCTATGGCTCAAGTGGTAGAGCGCTAGCCTTGAGCTAAAGAGCGCCCAGTCCCAGAGTTCAAGCCCCATGCCCCCCGCCATTCAAATGTGGCCAGAAAGCTACTAACGTTATATTTAACACATTTTTGCCTAGAGACTTGAACTTAACATTCTTATTGGTCTAGCACATTTATTTCAGGGTACTTAAACTTCACTAATTGAAATCATTTAAACTTCATTAATTGAAATTACTTTTCAACAAAACCTTAGCAATACATAAAAACATACTGGAGGGGCTGGGAAGGTGGCTCAGTGGTAGAGCGCTTGCCTTGTATGCCAGAGGCCCTGGGTTCGATTCCTCAGCACCACATAAGCAAAAAGAAAAAAGCCGGAAGTGGTGCTGTGGCTCAAGTGGTAGAGCGCTAGCCTTAAGCTGAAGAGCTGAGGGACAGCGCCCAGGCCCAGAATTCAGGCCCCACGACCGGACCCCCCCCCCGCAAAAAAAATATACTGGATGGTTAGTTTTTAAATGTTCAAGCAATTAGACTCAGTAATCATCTTACTGTTTTTTATTTTGTTTTATTCTAGTACTAGGACTTGACCTCAGGGTCTGAGAACTGTCTATTAGCTTTTTTGCTCAAGCCTGACACTCTATCACTTGATCCACAGCTTCACTTCAAGCTTTTTGGTGGCTAACAAGATGAGAGTCTTGCAGACTTTTTTTGCCCATGTTGGCCTCAAACCACAATCCTCAAATCTCATCTATCTAAGTAGCTAGAACGCCTGGCTAGGTTTGCAATTTTGAGTCTATAAATCCCGTTAGAAATCTTTATAAAGATGTGTAAATGGGGTCAGGGACAAGTCCTTAGGAAAATTTGAAGATCTTGGTTTTTAAATAAAAACAGCTTTCTTTGTCTGTGATTGTTTTAGACTTGTCCACAAACTCAACTAAAATCAGTAAAAATTTTATAAGCTTTTAAAAAGGGCAATAAAATATCACCCTAAACACAGGAATAGTTATATGTTATTGGAAAAGCTTTTATTGTATTCAATAAAGGCAAAAGTCAGTATTTCAGAAAAAGCAAATCAAAACTGGGTGCTGGTGGCTCATGCCTGTAATCTAGCTCTAATCTGAAGACTGAGCTCTGGGGACTGTGGCTCAAAGCCAGCACAGGCAGAAAAGCCTGTGGGATTCTTTTTTTTTTTTTTTTTTTGTCAGTGTGGTGCTTGAATCTGGGCCTGAGCACTGTCCCTGGGATCTTCAGCTCAAGGCTATCGCTCTACCACTTGAGCCACAGTGCCACTTCTGGTTTTCTAGTGGTTAATTGGAGATAAGAGTCTCATGGACTTTCCTGCCCAGTCTGGCTTTGAACAGTGATCCTCAGATCTCAGCCTCCTGAATAGCTAGGATTACAGGTGTGAGCCACCAGTGCCCAGCTCTGTGAGATTCTTAGCTCCAATAAGCTACTCAAAAAAAGCCAGAAGAAGTGCTGTGGCTCAAGTGGTAGAAAGCTAGTCTTGGGCAAAAGAGGCTCAGGGACAGTTCCCAGACCCAGAGTTCAAGCCCCAAGGACCAGGAAAAAAAAAAAAAAAGCACAGCTTCTGGGGCTCAGCCTAATAGTATGCATCTTGTATCCCAGCTAATCAAGAGCTGGAGATGGAAGGATCATAGTTCAAGGCCAGCCGGGGTAAAAGTTCATGACTTTATCTGCAAATCAATCAAACAAACAGAAAAATAGGGCTTATACCTGGAGGCTCTGATTAGAAAGATCCTGGTTCCAGGACAGCCCTGGCAAAATATTTGAGAAATTTTATCTCAATGAAAAGAATTGGGCATGATGCAGCACAATTGTCATCCTTGATTCAGCAGAGCATAAATAGGATGATTGAAATCCAGGGAGGAAATAAAACCTATCAAAAATAATCAAGAGCAGCTGGGTGCTAGTAGCTCACTCCTGTTATCCTAGCTACTCAGGAGGCTGAGATATGAGGATCACAGTTCAAAGCCAGGCCGGGCAGTAAAGTCTGTGACTCTAATCTCCAAGTAATCACGGAAAAAGCTGGAAGTGGCAGTGTGACTCAAATGGTAGAGTGCTAGCCTCAAGCACAAAAGCTCAGGGACCATATCCATACCCTGAGTTCATGCCCCATAACTGACAAAATAAATAAATAAAAATAAGTAACCAGAGCTGGTAGCTCATGCCTATAACCCTAGCTACTCAGGGGGTTAAGATCTGAAGATCATGGTTCAAAGCCAGCCGAGGCAGGAAAGTCTGAGAGACTCGTCTCCAATTAACTACCAGAAAACCAAGAATGTAGCTGTGGCTCAAAGTGATAGAGCACTAGCCTTGAGCACAAAAGCTCAGAGACAGCACCCATGCCCTGAGTTCAAGCCCTATGACCAACAATAAATAAATAAACAAATAAAACAATAGAACAAAAAAGGGCACAGTTAAGTACCTGCCAAGCAAGTACAGGCCGTGAATTCAAATTCTAGAATTACCAAAAGCAAAAATAAAAAAAGGACTTGGGTTATGGTTCAAGCCCCGAATTCAATCTATCTCTCTCTCTCTCTCTCACTCTCTCTCTCTCTCTCACACACACACACACACACACACACACACCACATACAAAATCAAAGCCTCCTCACTGATGAACAAATCAAACAGAGGACTATCTGTAGACTAAGTCATAAAGAAACAAAGATAAAAGACGTTTGAGAATATCCAGAATAAAGCTTGAGGATGGGCAGTGTTTTGCTTTACCTGCATGAGCATGTCCTCAGCACTCAGGAACAGCTCTTCCGCTTCGTTGGTCTTGCCCACATGCTTCAAGAAACTCCCAATAAACAGCATCAGTCGGCATTTGTCAGTGTCATTAATTTGTAAAAGTCTGCATTCCAGCACTGGGATGAAAAGAAAATGGAATGATCCTAAAACCTCCAGGAAAGGAGCACAGTGCTCAGCCTTAATCCTCATGCAAAATTCAATCCATGATCCCAAATTCCTATTCAAAGGATCAGCAATTAGCTTACATTAAGGTCTACATGTATTACCAACTGTTTTCATCTATGACATAAAAAACAACCGTACCATTATTGAATACCTTGGTGTGCAAATTTTGAAAGCAAGAATCAAGAAAAAGTATTTAGATACCTCAATCTACATATTGCCATAATTTGCATTTTGGGTAAATTTCAGGCCAAAAGAGAAATAATGATATCTCTTACACAATTCTGCCCTCTGTTGCAGCTGTCTTGAATAGCTGGCTTTGTTTTTATTTTCTTCATTTGTGGGCTGAACATATTCCCATATCAGATTTAAAATGTACTACAAGCCAGGCACTGGTAGCTTATACCTATAATCCTAACTATTCAGGAGGCTGAGATCTGAGAATTATGGTTTTGGAGTCCAATCCTGCATAGGAAAGTTTGTGAGACTTTTTATTAATTACCAAAAAATAAAAGCTGGAGGTGGAAAAGTGACTCAAGTGATAGAATACTGGTGAGCAAAAAAAAAAAGAATCTTAGGGACAGCACTCAAGCCCTGAGTTTAAGCCCTGCTGTGCACACGTGCGCGTACACACGCACATGCGCGCGTGCACACACACACACGTACTGCAGCAGAACTTTATTAAAATTTAACTACAAACTCCAGAACACCTGTTATGAATCCTATACATCATATATACGCAGTATAGATTTGCATCTTGGTGCTGCAGATGGAGTCTGGTCCCTTACATGCACCAGGCATTCTTGGAACTAGATCTTGGAATTGCTGGCTTTAGCAGAAAGAAAACATCAAAACAAAACAAGGTGTACATAGGAAAGAGAGAGAGAGAGTGTGTGCATGTTTATACCTTTCACATAATGAAAATAAATAATAAAAATATATAATAAAACTTTTGAACCACCTAAATGGTGGTCCAAAGGGGTTACTTGTAGAATTTCTCCTTTTATAGGCTCTGGTACAGAAACTTCATTTGCTCCTGAGTCACATCTGAAACTGTGTGCTTGGCACGCATGTACTCCTCATTCCTCAACTGTCCCTTTGCTCATGTTGGAGGCCTGTGCACCTTCCCTTCTTCCTCTGTCTGCTTTCCCATGGGTCACTGCCATGCATAAAGTAAATACATCTGAAGCACCTACTGTGTGCCAGACAGCACTGTAGATTCTGAGCAAGCAGGCCAGGCTACAGCTCTTAGCACTGAAGCCAACTAGAAGCCAGTGTGCTTCAGGTCAAAGGGAAAGAATGACAACAGAGCCAAGGGGATAGAATACCTCAGCACTACATCATGACATTGGCCCAAAGTGGCCATCCAAGCAAAGGGGCCTGAGGCGGGAATGAGAACCAAGAGGAAGAACCTGGACACAGAGAAGCATCAGACCCTCCGGCAGCCACTAGAGCAGGCAAACAAGGGTAGCATGGGAGAACAGCGAGGCCTCAGGGCATCTGCACATTCCCTGAGGGGTTCTTGGGTTCAGAGTCCTGTCAAGGGCTCATGTTGGAATAGATGATGGCCATTACTGCTTTGAATCCTCCATTTAGCCAGCCCCTGTATTACCACATGCCTATAACATGCCTATAATCCCAGCTACTTAGGAAGTGTAAGCAAGATGATTTTAAGTTCAAGGCCAGTCTAGGCCTACCACCACTACATCTCAAAAATAAAATACAAAAACAAAAGGGATAAGCACAGGAGTGCAAGACCCTGGACTCAAAGCTAACTTCCACAAGAGGGGGAGGGGTTGGCTTGGCTTGTTCAAGAGCCCGGCCTCCACCGGCCACACCCTCACGTTCACTCAGCACCAACATAGACAATGAAGTTGTTCCTATTCTGAAACTAATATGCATGCATAACAGAGAAAATTGAAAACAGAAAAATACACCAAAATGTAAAGACTGCTCTAACTGCATCAAAGATCACCTGTTTACACACTGCTGCATGTGCTGCTAATCTTTTGTGTATTGGTATTTCTAAGTATTAATCCTTTGCCTTCTCTGTATGGTATGCATATTCATCACAGCTGCTCAATTGCCCTCTAATTGCTTCTGGTTTTCTCAGGGTCAGTTGGTTGGTGCTGTTTTGTTTTGTTTTACAAAGAGAAACTTTAGGTATCTATTTAGACAGATTTATCAATTAGGTTATCCATGATTTACCTTGTTACTTTCTTGCTTAGACTTAATTATACTTCCTTACAGAAAATATAATTTCATTTCTTTCTAATCCTTCTGGAAGTTATTTTGGTATAGTTTTAACTAATCTTCTTACCAAATAGTAAACCACTATTAAAAACAGTGGCTTATTTTTGTAGGCTTGAACTCAAGAATCAGGGTACTGTCCCTAAACTGGTTTTTGCTCAGGACTAGTACGCTAGTGGAGCCACAGATCCACTTATGGTTTTTTGTTTTTGTTTTTGTTTTGTTTTGTTTTGGTGGTTAATTAGAGTTAAGAGTTTCACAGACTTTCCTTCCTGCTAGGCTAGCTTTGAACTACAACATGATCCTCAGATCTCAGCCTCCTGAATAGCTGGATTATAAGCATGAGCCACCAGCACCCAACATAATCTGTCTTTCACAATCTGAAACTCAAAAACCCAAAGATGATGTCTAGAACCATATCTAGACAGCTGAGTTGCCATTTTGTTCCAGTGAGCAGTCTATTTTTGTTTCCAGGAGTATTTTGTAAATTGTCATTGGTTTGTAATGTGTTTAAATAACTTGGTATTCAAATTGCTTTCATTATTTTTAAACTCTAATATAATCTATTGTTTCTCCAATAATTTCAGAATCCTTTTTTTTTTTTTTTTTGCTAATCTTGGAGCTTGAACTCTGGGCCTAGGCACTGTCCCTAAGCTTCTTTTGTTGTTATTTTTTTTTGCCAGTCGTGGGGCTTGAACTCTGGGCTTGGGTGCTGTCCTTGTGCTCTTTAGCTCAAGGCGAACGCTCTACCGCTTGAGCTACAGAACCACTTCCGTTTTGTTGTTGTTGTTAATGTTGTTTTTTTTTGTCCCTAAGCTTCTTTTGCTCAATGCTAGCACTCTACCACTTGAGCCACACCACTTCCAGCTTTTTCTGTGTATGTGGTACTGAGGAATCAAACCTAGGGCTTCATGCATGCAAGGCAAGCAATCTACCACTGAGCCACATTCCCAGCCTCAGAATCATTTTGAAAAATTTATATTTTTTTAATCTTTAAGTAGTTGTACAAAAGAGATGCCATTCAATAAAATTTTGAAAATTTTGAAATGTGTTAATCCATTGATATTTTCATTAAAGTTTTTTTTATCAATAACTCAGTTGGGGAAGAATGATGATTTACAACACTGAGTTGCTCTGGCCAAGAATATGTTTCAGTCTCCCTGTATACTGAAATTGTAGTTTCTGCATAAAGAAATAAAATGAAACAAGTGCTGGTGGCTCACAACCATAATCCAAGCTACTCAGGAGGCTAAGAATTGAGGATCAAAGTTCAAACTCAGTCCAAGCAGGAAAGTCCATGAGACTCTTATCTCCAATTAACTACCAACAAGTCAGAAATAGAGCTGTGACTCAAGTGATAGAGCATTAGCCTTGAGCACAAAAGCTCAGGCTCAGCACCCAAGCATTGAGTTCAACCCCCAGGACTGATATAATGAAACAAAATAGAGATTATGTATATTTCTTGTTGAATTTGGTCTTAGTTCACATTTTCTGTGATCATTGCAAATTGGGTCTTCTGTGCCTTTTATTTATCTCTAGAGTTACTTTTAAAATTTAATCAATTTTTTTCAATCTATCCAAGATGTTTAGAGGTTTCTAAAGGCTCCCAGGTAGTCACAACAACCTGGTATTTTTTATTTACTTCAACCTTCTGTTAAGACCCTGTAGTGTCATATATTTATCTTTTTCCCTCATTGGAAAGCTCTCTGCTTAGTATGATGATTTCTGCTTAACCTACCTCAAAAGCCACCTAGAGAACAGCCAGCCATCTGCCAAGATGGACCCATTCCCAGAACCCAGCATTCTGCCCACATCGAGTGTCCTGCCTCCAAGACCTACCATGCCCTCTCACACATGCTCCCTGCTCCAGTCTTTCTTCTCCAGTCTTTGTCCAAAAATGCAACTGCAGCCAGAAATGGATTTTCCTCACTTTGATATGACCCAGAGTTCCAGCCCCAAGCAAGAGACAACCCATAAAAAATACCCCAAGCTCAAAGTGCTTCCTCCTAATCATCTATTAGATTATTAATCATCTATTATTAGATTCCATTCAGAATGTGGTGCTCGAGGAGGGGGAAAAAAACACAGGAGAGTTAAGTCCAGGACTCCAAACTGTGTATTATTTCCAATTTAAGAGCTAACATGATATTCCCCTCCAGCCACCAGGGGGCAGCAAAGGACACAGTCAGAAAGAACTAATCCTCTGGATGTAGGCACTACATTCAAACCAACGGCAAGAAGCCCACAGATACTTCTTGCCTACTAATGGTACCTTTCAAAAACTGATGTCTTAAAGGAGCTTTCTTGAAATTACCAGCGGTCAAAAGTATGAATACCCTATTAATCTCTCAGAACAGAGGGGAAAAATAAAGACTGAGGCCCCCAAAGGATAATAATTCACCGCTTCCTGAACAGGGAGAGGTGGGGATGGTAGCTCAGGAGATGATCCTATACCCCATGAACCAGACCTCTCCTACCTAGCAGATCCACTCCCCTCACCACAAGCCCCTTCCTCCCACTGGTGCTTTGGGGAAAATTAATTTTCAAGGCTTTGGGTCGTGAACTCCTGATCCCACTTGGAAGCAAATCCCAGATGGCCTTGTGCTTTAAAGAGAGACAGAATGTCCACCAACCATCTCTACTAGAAAAGGAGGGCAGGGGCCAGGTGCCCATGGCTCACGTCTGTAATCTTAATTACTCAGGAGGCTGAGATCTGAGGATAGTGGTTCAAAGCCAGCCCAGGCAGGAAAATCCATGAAACTCTTATCTCCAATAAACCACCAGAAAACCGGAAGTGGTGCTGTAGCTCAAGTGGTGAGTGCTAGCCTTGAGCTGAAGAGCTGAGGGACAGTGCCCAGGCCCAGAGTTCAAGCCCCCAGGACTAACAAAAAAGAAAAGAAAGAAAGAAAAGGAGGGAAGAACTGACAGATAATTCTTCATATTTCAAGCTAGAAAACGGGGTTTCTCTGGGAATTTTTTGTTTGTTTGTTTTTGTTTTTGTCAGTGTGGGGCCTGAACTCTGGGCCTGGGCGCTGTCTCTCAGCTCTTCAGCTCAAGACCAGCGCTCTACCACTTGAGCCACAGCGCCACTTCTGGTTTTCTGGTGGTTTATTGGAGATAAGGGTCTCCCGGCCTTTCCTGCCCAGGCTGGCTTTGAACCGCCATCCTCAGATCTCAGCCTCCTGAGTAGCTAGGATGACAGGGGTGAGCCACTGGCACCCAGCTCTCTAGAATCCTTTGAAAGGATCATCTAGGTAAATATCTTGCCTTACTCTCCCTCGAGGACATACTAGCTCAGGTAATGTGTGGGTAACATAACTGTTGTTAAAAAGGGTGGGGAGAGCCAACCATCAAGAGAGCCACTGTAACATATAATATGTAACACTCCTATGGCTACTCCATAGGATTCCTGTTCTTGTGACTCTAATACATGTGTCTATTGCCTCAATGACAAGAAGGGAGAAAGGTGGGCATTCATATGGTCCTGTAAGGATGGATCCCATTGGCCAGGGTGAGGGGCAAGGCAGGAATGCGACCCGCCATACTGTACTGGGTAGTCATAGTCCTGCTTTATGAGGGTAGAGAGAAGAAATGAGGGCCCACAAGAGACAAGAGAATGAATATGAAAGGTTTCATGGGGTCTACGGCAGCCGGTTGCACCTGATGCTAGTGATATCAAGAAGCTATCTTATATGCATCTTTTGTGCATATTTTCCATTATCCTAAGCACCTTCATTCCATCATTCTTCTTGGAGAACTTTTCAGTATTAGAAACTCACTTACTGTGGTTGTGCATGTGCTCTGTTTCTGTAACTGCCGTCAATCTCCTATTATACTTCGTAGTGAAACCAAATGTATCCTCTAAAAGTTCACTGTGTATAAGGTAGCCAAAATTTTTTAATGCTGTATCGACTTTTTAATATCTTGTCTTCCTTTATGTGATTTTTGTTCTCTGTGGAGTGCCATTATTAGAGCTGGTGTTGGAAACATTTTCACTTGCAGTTATTTTGTCTACTTTTACTGTTGTACCTTGTTTTTGTTTACTAGGACCAAACCTGAAAGCATGGCTAAGAGTTTTCAGTAAAAATGGAGTTGATTCCATTTGGGAGAAGAGTCTCCAGATCACTACTATTTCTAGTTTTGTAGGAGCATAGCTTGGAGCATTTCCTATCCCACTGGATTGGGAAAGACCATGGCAGGTATAACCCATCTCCTGTACACTTGGAGCGACCTTTGGCTACATGGCTGGCTTAATCATTTCACCACTCTGGATATACTGGAATAGAAAGCAACTGACATATAAGAACAATTAAGAGGAGCAAAGGGAGAAGATAATTCTTTGCGCAGATTCTGCAAGAGATGTGCCGAAATGTAGATGGTCAAAGCCAAGCAGTTCCATTTACAGCACTGATTTTTATGTAGTTTCAGTGATGTGATTGTAGCTTATTAAACTATGAAACCCCTGTGAGATTGTACCTTCTAGTGGAAATAAAGTAGTTATAATAATAAAAAATATTTCATGGATGTAAATCTGAAAAATGTGGCCATGACTTAAGCACATAGGACAAGGAAGGGATATAGTGAAGCACAGGATTGCCTGCTAAGAGAAAGTTTTTTTAAGGGTCTAAAATAAACGATGGTATGCTGGGCAAAATGGCTCACACCTGTAATCCTAGCTACTCAGAGGGTTGAGATATGAGGATCATGGTTCAAAGTCAGCTGAGGCAGGAAAGTCTGTGAGACTCTTTATCTCCAATTAACCACTGAAAAAAAGCTGGAAGTAGAATTGTGGCGCCAGTGCAAAACACTAGTCTTGAGCAAAAAATAAAGTTCAAAGACAATACTTGGGCCCTGAGTTCAAGCTCCAAGACTGGCACACGCACGCAGAAAAAAATGTATTTATACAGATGGCTTCATGCTCATATTAAAGTATCCCCCCAAAGCCTTGTGGACATCCCCACTCACTTCAACAGAAAGATTCTGAATGGGGCTCGTTTATGCTAGAAAATTCTCGCACATTGCACTACTCGATGACTTCCTTCCAGTGCAAATCTCCAGCCTACACCCTCCATCACCTGGTAAACAGCACAGCAAGAGAAAAGAGAGAAGCTATGGAGACATTAACCCTTGTTTCCAGAAGCCATTAGCTTTAATTTGGGAAGAAATGATTGGGTTGGTGAGAATTATGGGAGGTAGTGTTGCTCACGGTACCTGACAGCGTACATCTCTTCTTCATCTTGTGGCACTCGTCGGCTTTAATCTTGTCCACTGAGAGCATATAAGCCGCCGAAGCATCATAACCAGCTTCCAACAATATATTCCAGTAGTGGATGAAGTGTAGCCTTGTCCACAAGCTGGGGCTTTGGATCTTTGAGATAAAGTCTGTGATACTTATGACACAACATATGAATAGAAATATGTTTAGTACTTTTTGCCTTGAAGAAAGGTGTTCTCAAAACTACATTTCATTAGCTTCTTTACAAACTTCTTAACTAATAATACGTTGGTTGGACATCCAATAAATACCTTCAGCAATTGGAATCAGTGTTCCTTGTTTGCCCAAGATGACTGTCCCTTCCTCCTGGATTGATCTATATCAGTCAAAGGGGTCTTTGTGTATTGTTTTTCAAAGTCATATTACTGTCAATTACTATCTAGTAATTGTCTAGCTCACACAAGATGGAAAGGGGCTTGAGGACTGTATCTTATGTACCTTCTACACCTACCTTCTACCACAATGTGGAAGGTAGGATGGGGCACCAATGGGTGTATGATGAATCAGTGGCTAAGTAGTAAAGAAGGAAGAAGCAGGGAAAGAGAGGGAGGCGGGGGAAGGTGGGGGGTGGGGAGTGGGGGAGGGGGAGAGAAGGATGCATTAGGAAAAGACAAGATGAACACCGGGGGTCCCAGCAGGACCACATGGGCCATCCTTTCCCGACTCTTGTTCTTGTCCTCTGCTCTCCAAATGCCAGCTTCCTTTGAAAGGAAGAATGCATGTGGAGGGAAAAGAGAAAGAGAACTCTGAAGAACCAGATAGATGAAATGGCGTAAGCCAGTGCCAGTGGCTCATGTCTGTAATCCTAGCTACTCAGGAGGCTGAGATCTGAGGATCTCGGTTCAAAGCCAGCCTGGGCAGGAAAGTCTGTGAGAGTCTTATCTCCAATAAACCACTCAGAAAACCTGAAGTGGCACTGTGGCTCAAGTGACAGAGCACTAGCCTTGAGCTGAAGAGCTGAGGGACAGCATTCAGGCCCAGAGTTCAAGCCTCAAGACTGACCAAAAAAAAAAGGCATGACTCGAGGATCCATCAATCAGCAGCAGAAGTGGGGGCCAGGTGATGATGGCATCTGAAGGAGACTGAGGAGTTACAGAAATATGAATGTACCTTGCTCAAGGGAACCACCAGTGACTGAATACAGCTCTGATAAAGGACAAAGATACACTGGCCTCCTCACAAAGGGAGAGACATACCTGGGGCTGGTGAGAAAGCTGCCCAGCCCAGCCCAGCACCCGCTCATCTTCAGATGCCATGGCAACTCTTGATAAACTCTCCAAAAACCGGTTTGCCGCTGGAAGAATCTCGTCAAGATTTGGTGAAAACGTATTTTTTTCTGATTTGCTGGGTTCAGAAATGTATAGGGACTGCTTTCTCTCACAGGAGTGATTACACCTATTTAAATATGAATTGCAGTTTAACACCTCTAACTTCTTAGTATATAAAAATAGTATAGCAGAAATCTGACACTTCTGTAAATATAACTAGAGAAAGGAAAGACAAGTTAGCTTCAATAGGAAAGTGAATTCTTTTTTTGGTTTGTTTTGGTTTGTTTTGGCCAGTCGTGGGGCTTGAACTCTGGGCCTGGGCACTGTCCCTTACCTTTTCAGCTCAAGGCTAGCGTTCTACCACTTGAGCCATAGAGTCACTTCTGCCTTTTTTGTGCTTATGTGGTGCTGAGGAATCAAACCCAGGGCCTCATTCATGCAAGGCAAGCATTCTACCACTGAGCCACCTTTCCAGCCTGGAAAGTGAATTCTTATCTATCAGTCTGAGTTTCCCCCACACCCCATAAGAATTAATTCTACCTAGGGTCACTGGTGAGCATGTTGGATTTTTAAGTTGTCTTCCCTTCCCCCAAGAAAATACCAGTGACTTCTTTTTCTAATTTAAATGTAAAGCTCAGTTATTCCTAATCATTTTCAAGCACAAGAGGGTGTGCATGACACATGAATCCATTGCTGCCCGTGGATATTGGCTGAGGGGGAAATGAGCAAAGAGATGGCAAAGTTGACATCAGAGCCGGGATGGCTCTACTTAAGAATAATGGATCATTCCCAGAAGAAATGGACCTGATACAGCATGCTACCCAGGCACAGGCTTCTTAAGCAGTAACAGAAGGGTTTTGTTTCATTAAATTCTGGTGAGCTTAATCCATAAAAACTAAAATAGACATATTTGTGGGGGGGGTTGTTTTATTTGTTTTTTGTTTGTCAGTCATGGGGCTTGAACTCTTGGCCTGGGTGCTGTCCCTTAGCTCTTCAGCTCAAGTCTAGTGCTGCTCTCTACCACAGTGCCACTTAGAAATATTTTTAAATTTTTCACTTGACACTTTTAACTATTAACCAAAAGGGAGCCATTACTTAAATAACTATTCTGCATTTCCACTAATTGACTTCCAGCTCACCCACACACTTGGAGCGACTGTGGTTGAATATGTTGGTATACCAATCAACCTAGATGTCAATTAAGCACATACAGTGCTTAAGAGACTACTGAAGGAAAAGAAAACTCTTTCTCACTAGATATGGCAAGGGTATTTTGTGAGTAATAAATTGGAGAGTAGGAAAGGGAATATGAGAGGGAGAGACACACACACAGAGTCAGAGACAGAAACAGAGAGAAAGTGGGTCCAAAATTACCCTGAGACCAAAATTTGAAGTGTTAAATATAACAATTAAAATGTACAGAACAGGGCTGGGAAGGTAGCTCAGTGGTAGAGTGCTTGCCTTACATGCATGAGGCCCTGGGTTCGATTCCTCAGCACCACATAAGCAGAAAAAAAAAGCCGGAAGTGGCGCTGTGGCTCAACTGGTAGAGTGCTAGTCTTGAGCTGAAGAGCTGAGGGACAGCGCCCAGGCCCAGAGTTCAGGCCCCACGACCGGACCAAAAAAAAAAAAATGTACAGAACATACTGGGCTCACTGATAGAGCATATACTCTGTTGTGTGAAGATCTTGGATTCAATCCCAGCACCGAGGAAAAACAAGGTGCCAAATACTTTCATGAGCAATGATCTCAGCAGGAAGACATAAATATGAGGCCCCTAATGACAAAAGAAGCTAATTAAAATCGGGAGACCAGATAACTTGTCGAGTCAGCACAGGGCTGGCAACTAAAGCAGCACGGTTAATTCACATGTTCTGATTGAATCCCATGCTCTTCCAGCTACCTATGGGATGTAAGGAACGGTTTGACCTCAGCATCGTCTTTGTGTGCAACGTGCAGTCCTGTTCTCATGGACAGATTTAATGGGTGACATTTATCACGTGCTGCTGTTACTCACAGTGGGACAGAATAAGCTGGACTGACAAGCCTGAATATCAGAAGTGTAAAAGAACAAAGGTTTATTATCGAGGACCTAGAATTCGAATCCAGGTCTCCTCACTCTGGGACTGGTAAGTGCAGCTATCTTGAATGTGACCAGTGGCTGTCTGGTCACATGGTCCTAGCCGACAAGCAGCCAAGAACTGTTGCCCATGGTGGGAGAAGGGCTGGGAGTTCTGGCAATTGTCTCCAATGGCCACTTCAAGTGCTCATCAGTATACCAGATGCTGTATTAGGCATGAATTTGCATGTGCGATACTTTCAAGGTAAGTCCTATTATTATTCTTATTTTGCAGGTAAGAGATGGGAATGCTAAGAGGGTTAAACACCTTGTACCAGGTGATATCTATTCTATAAGGGTCTAAAGCTATTGCTCTTAACAACAAAAAAAGTCATTTTTAGTGGCAGCCAGGAAGATTTATTTCTTTTGAGGATCAAATGGCATGCAGGGTGGGAATGAGCTGAGGACAGGGTGAAATGAGGCCACTCGGTCCCCTGATCGCAGTGTCATGTACAGATGGCTCACCCTCCTCTCCTGGGCTCAGGCTGCCAGCTCCTAATTCCAATGCAGGCAGACACCAGAGACTGAGATCCCATACTGCCTCGCAACACAGCAGAACCTGCAAGCCCTCCCCTAAACAAGCAGCCAGAAATAACTGTGCATTCAGTCGGCAAACACCTACTGAGTATAATTAGAATAAGTCTCAGGAAATTCAGACCTGATTGAGTGATCAAAGACTCTCTCTTAATCGAGAGAGAATCAACTTTTGGTTGGTAGTAATTTAGGTTAACAAATGGGATATAATACTAGACAGAGGATTAATTTTATTGCTATGACATTTGAACAAGAGTCAAAAGGGTAGGCCTTTATAAACACTATCATGATAGATTCAAATCCTAGAGCCCTGGCTTCGGGGTCATTTCCGTGCATGTGGGATGGGCTTGTTCCTCATGCCCAGGCCACACAGACGGAAATTATTGACATTACAATTCTTTATGCCTCTAGCAAAGACTGGTATTCACAGCCTCATTCTGCAGCACAAGAGCTTGCATTTCTGACAATGTTGAATATTGCTGCAGTGCTTTTATTTAAGGGCTCATAGTACAGAAAAGGGGTTCAATGGGTACCCAGAATTTTAACATCCATGTCATAACTCCAGTACCCAAGAGTGTTATCATTCTTAGGGAAATAAAGAAATTACTCCAGTGCAAATCATAGAGCAAATGAATGGAAGAACTGACGTTGATCTAAGAGCAGCTGTATTCCTAGGCCTGCTCTCTCCTCCACATCATATTAAGATGCAGGGGAATCAGGGCTCGGAGTGTGGCACAAGCAGTAGCACACTTAATCCCTGAGTTCAAACCCCAGTACCACCAAAAAAAAAAAATGACTGAGATAAATTCTTTAAATAAAAGTAAAAAGAACATAGTAAAAAGAAAATGAAGGTGAGCACCAGTGGCTTATACCTGTAATCCTAGCTACTTAGAAGACTGAGATCTGAAGATTGCAGTTTGAAGCCAGACAGGCAGAGAAGGCCCCACAAGACTCTTATCTCCAATTAACCACTCAAAAACTGGAAGTGGTGCTATGGCTCCAAGTGGTAGAGTGTCAGCCTTGAGCAAAAGAGTTTAGGGACAGCACCCAGGCCCTGAGTTCAAGCCCCACAACTGACAAAGGAAAAAGAAAATGGGCTGAGTTTTGAATCTTCCCAGAAGCTGTGGTTTAAGGATTTTTGAAGGACTCTGTGTGCTTAATTGCTAGAGTGCTCAGCTTCTTGATTAAGTGTATCTGTGGTGGTTGTAGTTTCTTGTGAGGAAGACCTACAGTGCTTTTCAGAAGGGATCAAGAATTTGGTTTCAGTGTTGAACAGAGATTACTCATTTCTATCCAGTAACCATTCCCCTCTTCTTCTTTAGAGACAGAACCCAACCTTGGCTTAAGGCATGGTGCACTCAGTTGAAATGTTCACCCCCCAAGTCTCCTTGTGTCTAGCTATGGGCCAAGTAATGCAATTTTGGGTCAAAGAAACATAAATAGAAATGCTGACAAGAAAGTTGTGAGTGAGTTGCTCTAAGGAAGTGGAAAGCCCTTCTTCCTTCCTGTTGCCTAAAATGTGAGGGGCTGGAGCTCCAGCAACCATGAGCATGATACATTAGCCTTGAGAACATAAGCCAGTGAAGTGTGTCAGCAGGGACACAGAAGGAGTTAGGTGAAACCAATAGAGGAGCCCAGAGCTGCCTCTGTACAGCAGTTAACTATGTGAGAGAATAAACCATGGGGTTCGGCCAGATCTAACTGATGTCAGTAAACCTCCTAAACATTGTTTTTTAATGCATGTCTGTTGGTTGACTCTTCCTTGAGCAGTCTTGCCATGAGCTTTTCCTTCTAGGTGACCCAACTTCCCCGTAGCCAGCTGCACCTGCACAGGCCTGGGCCTTACCAAGTAGCTTGTATTCCACAGCATTTCGCAGGGACTTGTGCCGGAGACAGAGGAGGCCATTGGGCTTCTCTTGGATCCAATGTTTGGTGGCATTGCGGAAGGCGGCCCAGTGTACTGCGGTCACTCTGTAATGATTCCTATAACCGAGCAACTCCAAAACATGGAGGAGCTCATCCTCAGCCAGCCCACAGTGCGCAATGCACAGTAAACACAGTGCATCCGACAACCAGCCGTCCAGCCCTAGCAGACATGAGGGGAAAAGGGGACAGAAAAAGAGCAAGCATAAGCCAGGGAGCATCTTAGATGTTTTTACATGACTAACTAACCAACCGCCTTCTTGGCAATCATCCTGTAGTAACAATGGCCCCTGCCTTTCTCTTCAACAAAGAAAATGAGGCCAGACCAGTTAAGGAATTGACTCAAAGACACACAGAAGTTAAGTGCTAAACAGGGATTCGAACTCGGTTTGGTTACTCATGAAGTTATGGTCTCTATTCTCACAAATAACCCTCTGGTTATAAACTGGCAGGCTTATGGTGGTTCTGTTTAAAGTCAACTTATACTTAGGGCTGTGATGTGGTGTTATTTTCCTGCTACGTTTTCTCAGACATCACTTGAGAGGCAGTTTTTTATTACTTACCTGTCCCTTAGGTTTGGTCCTATAGTTAAGCTCTATAACAAACAACTGTAAAGAGGTCCTTCAGACCACTGAGAAACATGGCAACACGATCTACCATCTTAAATATATTCCCTATGCCATGATTGGGGGATGGACCCAAGTTACCTGCAATCTTGAAATCTTTAGCCATAGCTAAAGGCTTATCTGTGGCCAGGCTCCCAGGGCTCGGGTGGGAGTTTCCGGACAGGGGTTGTGGTGGAGCTGTCCCTGTGGGGGGGGAGTGGGGAGGAGAAAGGGGGAGGATCCCTGAGCTCCTGTAGAGCTGAGTGTAAATGGGCCACCCAGTCTGTACGACTCTTCCAAATCACAAAACTAGTTTCTACCTCTTTGGCATGAGGAAAGGTAAGGTAATTGTGAAGTCAATTGATTTTACAGAAAGGAAAACTCTAGAGCAAAGAAGGAGGCAGAAGATAAATTGGAATCAATGTGTCTTTCATTCAAAGTATTTTCTGGTTCTCTTACCTCCTCACCACCTCCCCAATCCTGCTCCATTCCAAGTTTACTGTCCTGAAGAAAAGACTGGTATACCAGAACCAAAAGAGGAAAACTCAAACGTCTGAACAGACTTTTGAGGCTCATAGCTGGAACAGTGGCTTGAGAGAATAAATTCTAAATTCTCTCAAAAGCAAATTGTGGAAAATGTTGATTGTGGAAATACTATTAAATTCCTGGCTACAGGGTAGAATATTGTTGGCAATAAACAATACACTCAATTATAGGAAGATCTGATGAGAATGACTTCTATCAGCAAGAAAAGAGCTATTTCAAAACTGAGGCACAGGAGAGAATCAGATACAAAACCAAGGCTCAAGAAGCCAGCAGAGGAGAGGAACCTCCTCAGTTAGGATGAGGGGCTGTGTCAGCAGGGGCAGCAAAAACAGAACCATCTGAGGATAGACAAGAACACAGATGTCCTGGAGAAAACCAGAAATGGAGGGACCTCTGTGTCAGTGGTTGGTCAAGCACTTCAGCAGACTTGGCAAAATGACAATCAAGCACTCCCAGTACCAAGGTCTTGAGTCTAGCTTCAACCAATAGAGACACAGGAGATATTCAAACCCTCCTTTGACTGAAAAAGTCCTGAATTGACTGAAAACAAATAGGACTCATGTTTTAACCTGAATTGTGTATGAGTGGGACTATGTGATCAAAAGGAAGATTTAAACTGAGTTAGAGAAATAATAATGAGGCATATTTGGCAAGTGCTTCTCATCCTAGCTACCTGGGAGGTGGATATCAAGAGGATCAAAGTTCTAAACCAGCCTAGGCAAAAAGCTTGTGAGATTCCTATCTCAACAGAAAAATCCAAAACCCAGGACTAGTGCCCCATGCCTGTAATCCTAGCTACTCAGGAGACTGAGACCTGAAGATCTGTGGTTCAAAGCCAGACTGGGCAGGAAAGGCCATGAGAGTCTTATATACAATTAACTACCAGAAAAACGTAAATGGCACTGTGGCTCAAAAATGGTAGAGTGCTAGAGTGTTAGCTCAGGGCCAGCATGACACTGAGTTCAAGCTCCACAACCAGCAACAACAAACATCTAAGCACGGCTGTTAGTCATGCCAGTGACAGTGAGAAGTAAATAGGAGGATTGCGGACCAAGCTATCCCATGCAAAAAGCAAGATCCCATCTCAAAAATAAAGGGAGTGGAAGGGGGAAAGAGGCTAAAGATATAACTCAAGTAGTAGAGCACCTACCTAGAGTATAAACCCTAGTACTGAAAAAAAAAAAAAAGAAGTAACAGAGGTGCATTTCTCAGACTGAAAAAGGTGACTGAAATTTGTTTGTAATATAATTCTCCTTACAATCAACACACAGCTTTCTAGACAATTCTCTAATTTAGTAGTATAAATACTAGCTATGCATACTTTCTTTGGCCAATCCTGGGGCTTGAACTCAGGGCCTACGCCCTATCCCTGAGCTGCTTTTGCTCAAGGCTAGCACTCTACCACTTGAGCCATAGTGCTCCTTCTGGTTTTTCTGTTTTTGTGGTACTGAGGAATTAAACCCTAGGTTTCAAGGATGCTAGGCAAGCAGTCTACCACTAAGCTGCATTCCCAGTCCCCATAGTTAAATTTGAATTTGAACAACAAATTTCCCTATAAGTCCCCTAAAATATTTGGGATATACTTATACCAAATCCAAATAATTTGGGATAGTAATAAAATAATCCAAATTTTATTTGGAATCCAAATATTATTTAGTGTAATTATGTCCTGTTTGATACATGAGACAAACCTGCTAAAAGACGATTTCTTGCTGACTGGAATGAAATTTACATTTATCTAGAAATCCTCTATTTTCTATTTTGTTTTCTAATCCTCTATTATTCCTGGACCCTGCCCCTACTCCGTAGAATCTTCTACATGGCTTTCTCCTATAGATTTCCACCAAGCTGTAAACACTGCCTAAGACCTACCTTCTGTAGCTACAGTGCTTGAATTTGTCTTTTTTTGGCTCAAAGTCCAACTGTAGTCTTCAGTCCAGCGTTTTAGAATCAACTCCCAGAGCTCCTGAATGGAGGCTACCTCCAAATACTCCCTCATACACTGGATCTCATTTCGATAGATTCTGCATTCATTTAGCTCATTGGCTAGGATTGTGAGTTTTAAAGGGCTCAGGTTTGTTTTTTTCCTCCAGATTTGTTTGTTCTTCCAAAAGAAATCCTGGTTGGGCACGGAGAGATACTGTTTGAAGATGCTGAGCTTGGTGTCTTCATCTCCCACGCTAGAGAGTTCTATTGTCTTCACATCTGAACGGGCACAGAGCGACTTGAAGGACAAGCTGGAGGAAATGGTGCTTAGGATAAACTTGCAATGAAGAGGGAGCACATTAGGCAGCCAGGAAAAGTCTTTCGCCTGAGGGAGTGATATAATAAAGACAATTATAACATGAAAGACTTTAAAATCACTTTGATAATGGTTCTCAAATTGAGCCAATGGGATATAGGGTTATAATCATAGGGTGAAGTTGGAATTACAAATACTAAGAGTAATGGATATCACTAGGTGCTGGTGACTCATGCCTGCAATCCAAGATACCTTAAGAAGCTGAGATCTGAAGATCTCCTGCCAGCCCAGGCAGGGTCCATAAGACCATTATCTCCAATTAACTATCAAATAGCCAGAAATAAAGTCATATGGCTAAAGTGATGTAACACTAGCCTTGAACAAAAAAGCTCAAAGACAGCACCCAGGCCCTGAGTTCAAGCCCCAGGACCAGAAGAAAGAAAGAAAGAAAGAAAGAAAGAAAGAAAGAAAGAAAGAAAGAAAGAAAGAAAGAAAGAAAGAAAGAAAGAAAAGAAAGAAAGAAAGAAAGAAAGAAAGAAAGAAAGAAAGAAAGAAAGAAAGAAAGAAAGGAAGGAAGGAAGGAAGGAAGGAAGGAAGGAAGAAAATGTTCTTGTTAAATTACTATGGTTGTCATGTTTTAAACAATAGATTATAAAACAGCATGATGTGAGGCTTACTTTGCATAAATAAGTACAGTCATGTGGTTCATAATTACATCTTGAACATCATATACTACCATGGTCCCATAAGACTAGATCACCTAATGGCACTTTAGCCATCTAGGTTTATGTAAGAACACTGTGATGTTTGCACAATGATGAAATCACCTGAGGATGCACTGTGCAGATGATACATGTCCCATCATTAAGACACACAACGCAAGATGGGCACTGGTGATTCACACCTATAATTCTTTTTTTTTTGAACTATTTTTTTTATTTTATTTTATTT